AGTGGGCAAAATACTACTCACAGTCTTACGACGCACGCTGTACTTCGCTCCAATTCTGGGTATGTGATATAAGTTCCGGTACCAATCGATTACCTCCACCGTTGGGTATGAATTCGCATCACGTTGGAACGATTTTACAGTCCACTTGCTACTCGAAGCAATACAGGCCCAAGGAAATGACATGGCGATTGGTGTTTGAACGAAATTGCGCGACTGGAAGCCAGCCATCAGTCGTGCAGGTGCTTCAAAGTGCTTGTTAAAGCTATCAAAGGGTCTCAACATGCTCAGTACACCATGGCTTTCTTCCCAAGCGTTGCATACGGCTCAGCGTTGGAACATTCGCGTGTTCGTGATGGTATTGCTGCTGTGCAAAGCACTCACAGCGGGTTCTGGCAGCGCCATTGTTACGCAGCTTCTCGAGCGGACCTCGGAGTGAATTGTGAGACCATGAACGTTCGATCGGAGCAACTGTGCTGCGACCCCGAGTCCAAGAGAGGCATTCTACTCTCCAGTTGCGGGAGTTTGCTAGGATACGAAGGATGTTGATCAACATCGGACCTGAAAACGAAGCGACTATCCCCCGTTAGGAGTATATTGATTACTGACGAGTAGCATACACTCGCTAGTTTGTCTTGCAATCATTAAACCGAGTTTTCGGGGGACCAACTACGCACCAGCGAGACACTACACCATTCGGCCGAAAACTCGGCCCTCCCTCTCGTATAAGAGAAACAACATGGCGGTACAAATGTCATCACAAGCACTTAGCAACACGAATCCTTTCAATCAAATTAACATCAAATACCTTGTCTCTATCCATTCCACCGAACACGTCCCCATTGCCCAAAATGGTCAAAATCGCAATCGCAGGCGGTGCTGGAAGTAGGTTTCCCGCGGATCATACCCACCGGATGAACTAACATCTTTCCAGACGTAGGGCAAGAGTGCATCGATGCTCTTCTCGCCACGAAGAAGCACGAGATTGTGATTTTCACACGCAAGGTCATTACCACGTGTCTCTCACCTTACTTGATTCTGACACATCTTCCAGGATGTCCCCGCCGAGACTACCGACTCGCCCGTCAAACTAGTGAAAGCCAACTACGAAGACGTGGCTGAACTGACTAGTCATCTACAAGGCGTAGACGTAGCACTATCTTTCATCGCGCCACTGGACCTGCAACAAGGGGTTACCTTCCAGGAGAATCTCATCGATGCCTCAATCAGGGCTGGTGTAAAGCGTTTCGTACCCAGCGAATGGGTCTCGTAAGTCATTGCAATCGCCCACTCTTCTGCGCTTGCTAACCATAATCTAGATCCACCTTGGAGCACACGCCGTGGTATTCGTTCAAGGACACGATACGCGAATACCTAGCCGAGATCAACAAAGACAGAAAAGTCATCGAGTACACTCTTTTCCAGCCTGGTCTCTTTTCCAACTACTTAACCGTTCCATACAAGTCAGCCAAACATCTCACGCCGCTCCGGATGATTTACGATTTCGAGAATCGTAGGGCCATCATGCGAGAAGGCGGGGATGACGATACCATCGTCTTGACTACGGTACAAGATCTCGCCGGCGTTGTCGCGCGGGCAATCGATTACGAGGGCGAATGGCCGGTCGTGGGCGGCATTCGAGGCTCGCGCATCTCCATCAAGGAGCTCATTGCTCTTGGCGAAGAAATAAGAGGTCAGTCCTTCGCCTTCTTCCAGCTCAGATGAGCCGTGCCGCTGTCTGCTTGTTTACTAATAAGATATCACAGGTGGACCCTTTGCCATCGAAAGACTCTCCAACGAGGACTTGAAAAACGGGAACTGGACTGCCTCCTGGTTACCGGAATTTGAACATAATGCCGTCCCACCGGCGATGGCTGGGGAGATGGCAAAAATGGTACTGATTGGCTTCACTAAGGCTTTTGGGGCAGGTGCCTTCGATGTGGGAGATGAATGGAACCGATTGTTGCCCGATCATGAGTTCACGGATGTGAGGACGTTTTTGCGCAAGGCATGGGAGGGGAAGCCGTGATAAGACAGTCGAATGAACCATGTTGCGCAGCCGGTCTTCGGGTAATGCGATGGCGTAGACTAACTGCAGCAGTAGTAAGTTTCTAATAGCGAAAAATGTACTGTCTCTACTGTGTAACCCGTCCGGAGCTTTCGTCCGAGATTTCGGCCGAATACCACTACCCTACTGCACCAGCGACTCTTGTCACGTCCCTCCCCAACCTCCTTCAACACACAATCGAATATGCACGCGTCCCCCTCCCCTTCACCTGAGACTAACTCCCATGAAGATGAAAGAGCGGCGAAGCGGCGTAAAGTACGTAAAGGTACTCAAAGTTGCTGGGAGTGTAAGAAACGGAAAGTCCGATGCATCTGGGCATCACCCACCAAGTCCAAATGTAGTAACTGCGTGCGACGCAAGACAGACTGTGTTAGTCAGGAGTTTGCGGATGAACCGAATGAGAACAAGAGAGGAGATGCTGGATTAGAGACGCGTTTGGGTCGGGTGGAGACGTTGCTTGAGCGACTTATTGGATCGTCGACAGACAGGCGCCACGACATTGCTGACGAGTATCCGGGAGATGCAGACCTGGAGAGACCGAGGAGCGTAATAGTATGTGTAGCGTGCTGGGGTCTATCCTACATTCATCTCTGACACTCACAAGGATCACACAAGAAACATCAACATCACTTCATCCGCCTCCCCAGAGACCACATCAAATATCACAGATCTATTGCAACAACCAGAGCCAGCACTTGGCGATATATACACTGGCATATCCCGAGACCTCGTCGCAGCATGGCCCACAGCCCAAGATCTCGACTACATCTGCAAGCTCCCTGTCAGCATCTCCACGCACATGCACATGAAATTAACGACATCCTCTGCAAACCTGATGAACCAGGTTCCAGATAGCCCACGAAAGATATTGCAGCTACCACCACCAGGATCGCACCCAGTATTGATAGCGCGGAAACTCCTTCTACTCAGCAACATAGTGCAGGGCGCACTATCCGATGACTGTATACCCAGAAGCCAGCGAGAGCATCTCAGTAAAGTCATGGCTCATGCCATGGATACAGCAACGCGACTGGTGACCTCCAATGACGAGCTAACCGCCTCTGTTGAGGGCGTCGAATGCATCATGATCGAAGCCATTACCCAGAACTACGCTGGGAACCTACACCGCGCGTGGCTGACTGTGCGCCGCGCCGTTGCCGTAGCGCAGATGTTGGGTCTGCATCGTGGTAATGCTAAACGAGCTTCTATCAAGCTGGTGGATCCCAAGACGCGCGAGAGCCTCGATCCAGACCAGCTGTGCTGCCGTATTGTGGAGATGGATCGTTACCTCTCGTTGACACTGGGTCTGCCGCAGTCTTCGCTGCAGACAGTCGGGCTGAGCGCTGAAGTTATAGCAAAGTGCCATCCGCTGGACCGCATCGCGAGGCTGCAATGCGTCATTGGCGATCGTATCTTGGCGCGTAAAGTAGGAGAGCCGCGCGATGTTACGGAGAAAAGGGTCCGGGAAATTGATGACCTGTTCAGGGAGGTGACGGAGCTGATGCCGTCGGACTGGTGGCTTATTCGAGACTTTGACAACAAGGACGGGGGCGATTCGGATCCGATGCATGAGGTTGTAAGGAATATGTATCAGCTGTCGCACTTCTACCTCGTTATACGCCTGCATCTACCGTATGTTCTTCGCTCGTCGGGCGACGATAGGTGCGAAGAAAGTAAAGCGACAGCTGTGCATGCCGCCCGCGAAATCATGAGTCGATATATCGCGTTTCGCAACTGGAAACGCGGTCCGTATTATTGCAGAGGAGTCGACTGTCTGGCTTTCGTCGCCCTCATGGTGTTGTGTTTGGCCCATATCGATTCGCAGAACCAGTCGATGATTCGGCACAAAGCACTTTTCGATCATAGTCGTCCGAGCGATCGCGCTTTGATGGAGCGAACGGTCAAGGTATTGGGGGAGAGGAGCGACGATGCTCTCGCCACGAAGCTATCGAATATCATACAGTATCTTCTCGACGCCGAAGCGGCATCGGCAAATGGGACTGGCTACAACACTTCGGCTAGTGAGACAGACGATGGGCTGGCGACGGAATTTGATGGCCAGTTCATGGACGCTGAGAAGGCGGTCTTGCAGCTTCACCTGCCGTATTTTGGCACCATCAGCCTACAGCGCAGGCTAGCCTCCGATATCCCGTTGGCTGAGGAGATGCTGTCTATTCAGGTAGCTGACCAGACACAGTCATCACTCACGGAGTGGGACAATCGGTGGTCGTTCCTTGATTTGTCGAACGATGCGGAGGCGCTTGATGACTGGACACTGCAGAGCATCAACGAAGGTCTTTTCGGGGGACTGCTTGGCGGGCTGGGAGACGTGGATTTCGACCCTGGGCTGCCTGCAGATATATAGAAGCAAGGGAAATCCAGACGTGCTATGTTGCAAAGCACAATAGAGATGTTCCAAGTCACGTTCGTACCCTTCTCTCCTGCTATCTCGCTCATTGAAGATGAATAGCACCGCTTTATCTGCCATAAGAGTGTAGCCAGGGTATGCTTTTCGGAGCTTTCACTACATCGTTCACAGTCGCTTGGTCGAGGTCGTCCATTCGCCCTCCTCCGATTCTCTATTGACTGCAGCGACGGAAGAACAGAGAGGCAGGCGCGACAGGTGGGATATTTCGCCAAGCAGATACACTATATCAGGCCTAGCGCATCACGTAAGGAAGGTGCGAAGTACAAATACGTTCAGCACGGCAAGCGCAAATAAGGAAGAATATTAACAGCTGAATCACTGCAATTTAAATTAGACTGACTGCAATCTCAGTCAACAGATTGCTGCATGTACAAATGTACATTCTCGAAACTGTTCAAGCAAGTCCTCATGGACATGGTATCCTCCAAACCATAGCTCTGACTTGTAGAGCAATATTTTAAACGCCGGAAAATGCAATGAAACAACGCCAGTATACGTGGATGGAAATCATGCTCGTCGTTTGCCGATACGGCCGGGGCCGCTGGGACGTCCACCATTGGGCTTCAGTGCGCCCTTACCTCGTGAAGTAGGGAAGGAGACCTTGTTCTGGGGCTTGCGTCGCAGTTGTTTCCGGGTCTGGCTCTTGTCCTTGGTCTTGCGCGAGCTCGAGCTCTTCGCAGAGGTGGCGGTGCCGTCGACGTCCATATCTAGCAAGTCAAAGTTAGCCCTTGATTCTCACTCTACCAGTGCGGAGGAAGCGGGTCAAAGGCGAATTTGAGATGGCCGTCATCGGTGAAGCCCAGGATGTCTGAACACAGGCCTAGGTGGAAACACAGATTCCCGAGTTCGCAGTCCTCTTCTGCGAGGTCGAGTGGGCTTGCAGAGGGATCGGATAGGGAGCGTGGCATGGGGACAGTAAGCAGAGACGAACCTTTGGGCAAGTCCTCCTTGGCGGCATCGTCGGTGGTGTTGGCTGGGACATGATTAGAAGGTGCATATGGTGGGAGACGGCTGGGCGACTCACTTTCTTCGGTTTCCATCTCAGTCCTCTCGGGCTTGGGCTGGGCAATCGTCTCGAGAAGTTTGGCGTGCAGGCGCTCGGCGCGTGCCTGCTCGACAGGGCCGAAAACTCGGGCGCGCAGCTTGGTGCGGTTCGCCTTTTTGCTGCTTGCGCGTGCGCCTTTGGCCATTGTGTAGAGAGAGTGACGGGGAATGTGTGGGTGAATGGGTGTTTGGGCGTGTGTCTTGGTCACGTCGGCGGCGGCTGGTGGGGAAAAGTTCGAGGAATTTTGGTGGCAAGGCGTTTGGCGTATCAAGCCAGGCCGGCCCGTGCCCTGGTCGCGTTCTTCGCCTAGTTGCAGGTGACGCTGACTTCGGTATATCCCAGCTGGAGATGCGCTCGCCGCGAGAGCCGCCGCCTACCTCGACGGTCGAATACTAGAAAAGTCGCATTGCGGCCTCTGCTCGCCTGTTTGCTGCTCCGCGACTGTCCCGCCCGCCTGTCCTGCTCGCTCTGCATTGCCGCCGGGGGCTTGGGGAAGTTGCGACCAACGCCCGTCCGACTCGACTGCACCTCAGATAGCCGGATATCGCCCTTCGCTGCCTTCACCTCGCCCTACGTCACCCGCCCGAGAGAGAGTGCCTGAGATAGCCCGCCCCAGATGCCTTCGCGAGCAAAACTGAACCGGTAGCCCTTGACCTCCCTCTCCAACACCGCCAGCCTCTCCACCGCGACGGCACAAAACCATGGCGTCGAGCATGCAGCAGATGGCTGCCACCATCACCGAGCGCTCCAAGACACTCATCAACAACGACCTCAAAAAGATTCTCAAAGAGGAGGGCACCTCGCAGACGGGCAACAAGGCCGCACTGCAAGCGCGCGTCATTGGCCGTAGGTATCTCCGCTCCCCAGCAGCACGGCTTGCTGTCGCCGCTCACCTGCTAACTTCACCCTCCCCAGTCATCGCCAATGCCGTTGCTAGGAGCGACACCGACCTGCTGCGGCGACTGCAATACCGCGTGCAACACCACGGCGAAGCGCCTCCACCAGCCACGAGCAGTCCCGTCGCCTCCTCGTACTCGCAGCCCCCTCCGCCCATCGCAAACGGGTACAGCATGGCCAACGGCTACCAGAGCAACGGCGCATACCAGCCATACCAACAGCCTCAGCAGCCACCCATGCCGCCACGCCCGACCTATTTCTTCAAGGAGAGCCCTTTCTTCGAGATTCGCGAGCTGATACTGAGTAACATGTCTCTGGACGCTTCGCCGACGCACCGTGCCACCATATCGCGTAACCTCACCCTCAACGAAAGCCAGTCCGGACGCCTAAAGACAGACCCATCTTTGCGCCTGCTGCTCTTCTCTGCGCTCGAACAGCCATTGGCGCCCTTCTCGCGTCTCGATATCGCATTCCCATCTCAAATTGAGGTCAAGGTCAACGACGACGAGGTAAAGGCCAACTACAAGGGTTTGAAGAACAAGCCAGGCTCTACGCGCCCCGCCGACATTACCGACTTCGTCCGCACCAAGGTCGCCAACCAGCGCAACAGCATCCTCATCACCTACGCCCTGACTCAGAAGGCAAGTCGGTCGGAGGTTTCTTATCCCATCAGCTCCCAAACGTGACTCTGAGCTAACTCTCAATGTAGAAGTACAACCTCTTCGTCTACTTGGTCAGGAAGTACTCGGTCGACGAGCTCACACAGCGCATCAAGAAGCGCCACGTCATCACGAGGCAGTCTGTGCTCAATGAGAGTATGTAGTGGCCTTCGGCAGCTAACGTCTCTCACATGACTAATGTTGTAACAGTGATGAAAAAGGCCAATGACCCCGACATCGAAGTTGGCTCGAGCGTCATGTCGCTCAAGGACCCCATCTCTACCCTGCGCATTGTCACCCCATGCAGGTCGACTGTGTGCACACACAATCAATGCTTTGACGCCGACTCATTTCTGCAGCTCCAGGAGCAAGCTCCCACATGGACATGCCCAATATGCAGCAAGACCATATCATACGAAGGCTTGGCCGTCGACCAGTACGTTGAGGAAATCCTCAACAAGGCCCAGAACACGGACCAGGTCACCATCCAGCCAAGCGGACAATGGTCGACCGAAAAGGATGAGAAGCCCAAACAAAACGGGCACAATGGGCATCATGACGATAGTGATGATGACCTCATCGAGATACCAGATTACCGTATACAGGCCATCAAGACCGAAGCTGCGCCGACACCCACTTCGCTCAGCACCCCTCCACTGCCTTCTCGCGAGACATCCACAGCCCCCCGGTCTGGCCAGAAGAGAAAATCCGAAGTAGTGGATCTGACCTTGAGCGATGATGATGAGCCAGTAAGACCAACGAAAAAGGTAGCGTACACTACCCCCAATAGCCTTCCTGATCCGCCCCGTCGGTATCATTTACCTCCCCTCGGCAGTCACTCTGCCCATAGTCGTCCACTGCCACCAACCTACCATAGTGGGTCTGCCAGCATGCGTTCTGATTACTCCCGGCCTCCATCTACACCTCCACCACGCCATGGGTATCAATCCTATCGACCAGCACAGCCTGCTTCGCGGCCTAGCTATCCTGGACAGGGTACTTCCTCCTACCCTACCTACCTGGGCTCTTCTTCCCCTTAATTACATGTTGCGCGTTCTTGTTGTATCTTCCACTCATGTATGAGTATTGTTCATCCGCTAATACCACCTCGGGATCGCAGGGCAGAATAACGGGGACCAGACGAGGTAGCACATCATCCACTTAGGCCGTTCACAATATTGCGGACCGTTGCGGACCGTTGCGCCACGTGGCGGGCATTCTGCGTAGGCTGATGAAGTGAAGCTCTCTACATCATACACTCATCTCTTTCCTAATTTGTCAAGGAAACTTAGCGCGAGGCGTTTGGGGGAGGCTGCATTTCATGACCATCTATCTACGGCGTAAAACACTGGTTGGGGGCATTGAGGATACCACCGCTTGGGAGACTTGCATGCATTTCGGGAGCTTATACCAGCGACCTTCTGCAATGACGAAAGGAGCAGAAGTCGCGTTCGGAGAGGACTGAAAGGAGGTGGCGGTTCATGTACGATCGTGTAGCAGTGACGCCTTTTGGCTTCGGCCATACTAGACAGTTACCAGTATTACCGTGGGTGCTGTCAGCAGTTTCCACTTTCCTCTATTTGCGCTTACGTATCATACACCCCCACGTACTCAGTCCAGCGGTTCCGGCAAAACACAAACAACATTCTCCTCTTCCCCGTCATCCCCAACCCTCTGCCTCACCTCCCTACTCTCCAACTCCACATCATCCACATCCGGCTCCTCCCCCAAGCCATCCACCACCACCTCACCCTTGTCCTCAACCTTCCTCCTAACCTGCGTATCAAACAACGCACCCTTATCAAACAGCCTATCCGACTTGACCCCTCCCTTCCTCTTCACTTTAACCTCCCTTATCCTATACGCAAAAACAAAGTCCTCCGCCCTCGTACTCTGCTCGCTCGTCCCGCTCTTCCTCTTCCAATTCCCCTCCGGTCCCACCGAAATCGGTACCCCAGACCACGCTGTCGCATCCACACCCGCATGCACATAGACACCTCTTTCCTGGAGCCGTTCCCTGGAAAGCGTAGTTGACGACGCTATCATAACACCAGTGATGATGTAGATTTTCTCTCTGAATCGGTGCTGCGTGATGTAATCCCTAACATCCTCATGCCTCACCACGTCTTCCAGAAACGCGCGACTGGGCCGAAAAGTTTGCGTTGTCATTTTTTCGACTTGCCAGGTTTGGGACACGGATTTATCATCGCTGATGCTTATGTCTGCGCCGACACCGAGGACGCATTCGAGGAAGGAGGTCCAGATGCCGAAGGTGGTGGATTTGGATTTGGTGTGCGTGCCGCTCCAGTTATGTTCCGTGAAGGTGCTTGTGTCGGTTTGGGGCGGCAGGGAAGGGAGGTGGAGGGGTTCGTCCGGTTGGGATGGGGAGGGGATGATGGCGCCGAGGCGGATGGGGCCGTCGGGGGGACTAGGACGTGGTGGGGTGAGGAAGTATGTGGGTTTGGGGGTAGCCATGGTTTGTGTGATACCGTGAGAAGGTACTCTTGAGGCGTGTTGGCGCTGTTGGCGACTGTGTGATGGTAACCAGGCACCATATATATAGTGAAGCGCTAGGTGCAGATGTACTAGACATGAGTCGAAGTATGCATGGTAATGCAGGGTTACGTGTGGATGCATGACGTGTGGGGCTGAGCAGCGCATGCAGCTACTGTCCAATCCTGGTGGGCTCACTTCTGCACCGAGCAGCGTCCACTACAAAAATTCAAAATCGGCTTTGAGAGGTCGTAACAGATGCTTCGCTGATCAGAGCTTCATGAAGAGCATCTTCGCCATGCCTTGTGTGCGAGGGACAGACTATCGTGGTTTAGCATGTGCAATTTAGAGACTGAGAGAGGAGAAAATACCCTTTCCCTATGGCTGCCGCTAGAACCAGACATCGAATCAAGCTCTACTCTAGGGTGTCTTTCAGGGCGCGGTGGTCCTCGACTCTTCCTTAGCGTATAGTTTCCATCTTCCTCCTTTCTAAAAGTTGCTGATCGATGCGGATGTTTAGAAGGCCGGGAAGGTTCGACAGGAAGCTGGTAATATTCCTGGGCAGCCTGAAAGTATGCCTGGGGTGCCGCTTGGGGTGCCGCCTGGGATGCTGCCTGAGGTGCTGCTTGCGCGCCTGCTTGAGAGGGTACTGCTTCGTATAATACTTGTGGTGCTGCTGTCTCATGTTCGAGGGCCTGGAGTCGAGCAGGTTCTGGGATATATCCCCGATTATATGGTGCAGGAGGAGCCTGAAGACCAAATCTTGTAGCTATTGAACGAACTGAAGGAGCTGCTGCAATAGGTGGTGGACGCCGTATCACACCAGATGATGGGCCAGGTGTTGGACCAGATGTTGGGCCAGGTCCTGGACCAGGTGTTGGACCGGGTGTTGAACCAGGTGCCGAACCAGGTGGTGGACGCCGTATCACACCAGATGATGAGCCGGGTGCTGGGCCGGGTGCTGGACCGGGTGCTGGGCCAGGTGTTGGGCCAGGTGTTGGACCAGGTGTTGGACCGGGTGCTGAACCAGGTGGTGGACGGAATGGTGAGGTCACTACTGGAACTGAGCCACGGGCACTGGGTGGTGGTCTAACTGGAGCAGGAGGCGGCGGTGGCGGCGCTCTTGGTGATGATGGTGGGCTGCGTGTGGAGGAGCTTGTGGAGGAGCTCTTGGAGGAGCTCTTGTTACTACCATTGCGTCCACGACGATGGTCGCAGCAACAACACCATATCAGTAGTAGCAATATCAGTAGACCAAGAAATGCTCCAACGAATGCTCCTCCAATAACTATGCTAGATGGTCGCGCAAGAGTAGGGCTGACAGGGCCAGTTTCCTCGACGGCCGCTACGGTGGGGGTCCAGCGGCGAGCAACGGCCGGAGACGCTTCAAGCACACAGACGACGTGCGCTTGCGATTGATCTGAGCATTCCAATGGCGGTGCTGTCAAACATGACCGTCTTTGAGGCGCAAGCTTGAGGGCGGGCATGTGGGAAGCCTAGTTCGCATCGTGATGAAGGCTGAAGCTACACAGCCTGCCCAAGGTACAAAGAAGCGCCGAAATGCGAAGGCTGGCTGCTATCGAGATATGACTGTGCCGCAAATCAAGGCGGGGCGTGGTTCAAACCGGTCAGTACACCCGGCGTTACGCTGAGCATCTGCATATCCGCTTGGCCCAGGTTGGGTATGCAGGCGAGCCATCATCCTTCAGCCCCCACCTCGCCGCAGCCCGGATGACTTCGTGCGGCCCGCAGAACGGCTGAGATCTCTTACACATCGATAATGCGCCCGGATTGAGGAAGCACGCAAATATTCCCTCCTTATCTTGCGTGCCAAGTTACCAACCCTTCGAGCATTGCGCCAGGTAGGGGTACGATCGAATGAGCCTGACTTCGCACGACGACAGAACACTCGCGGACGGCGTCGCCACCTTTGGTTAAACGTTACGACGCATCTTCGGATTAATAATCAAGAACCGATACGGCGCGAAGACGAGTGAGGAGGAGTGGCGGAAGGCCCCCCTCCTGAAATGACGCTGGATGACCAAATCAACAAACTCATTTCTGAGGGCGAAGGACTCGAGATCGGAGCTGAAAATGAAGGTCAGACTTTGTACCCAGATATAATCACAATATGGGAGAAGGCAGTAGAGCTCGCCGAACAACACCACGGGAATCTTGGCCAAGAGACTTTAAACTTACGTGAGCGCCTGGCCGACAGCCTTACCAAGGCAGGGAAGTTCCACAGGGCGATATCGTGCGAACTGAAAAATGAGCACTGGACTCTCGAGCGTTACAAACAGCTTCAGGGCCCTTCTCGTGCGATTAGCGCCCCAGCACAGGCCGCTAAAGCAAGTCACCTGGAAGCTCAACGACGAGTTGCGAGGACCTACTTACTAAACAAAGACTATCCGAATGCGGTCCAAAAGTTCCAAGCGGTGGTTGACGATAAGACCACACCGAAGTCAGCGGTGCAAAGATGTATAGATCGAGTCGATCTGGCGTCGGCTATGTATGCGTCTGGTACAGATCGCGACATCATGGGAGCAATAAATCTCAATATAACGACCTTGCAAAGAGCGGAGGCGAGTCTAGGAAAAGACCACATCGAGTCCGTAAAGGTCAGATACAACCTGGGCCGAGAGTTGCGTGATCTGAAGAAGTACGACGATGCCCTGGAGAAATTTAGCCAGGTAGTCGACATCCTCCGTTTGAAATCATGTAAAGCCAGATCGTCGCCTGAGTACCAAGATTATCTTGGAGACGCAGAGATCTCGCTCAAGAACTGCAAAACCAGGGTTGACCGACAGAAAGAAAAGGCAAGACGACAGGCTGCCTCGGCAGCGGAAGAAAGAAGACAGAGGGAGGAGGAGGTCAAAGTCCAGGAAGCCGAGAAGACGCGTCTACAAGAGGCTGCAGAAAAAAAAGAGCAAGCTAAAGCACGGCAGCTGGCTGCCTCGGCAGCGGATCAGAGAAGAAGGAGAGAAGAAGAGCTCAGAGTAAAGAGGGTTGAGGAAATTCGAATTCGAGAGGCTAAAGCTAGAGAAGAGGAGGCCGAGCGAAAACGGTCTCGAGTGGAGAAAGCCCGACAACAGGAGGCTGAACGAATACGGTTACAGAATGCCCAACAAGAGGAGGCTGAGCGAGTACGGTTACTAGAGGAAGAAAGAAGACGAAAATTGAATGAAGATGCAAAGAGGCAGGCAGCTGAGGAAGCGCATGAGCAAGCTATGAAGGTCCAACAGGAGGAAGCGAAAGAAACACAGGCTCGTAAGGAAAAAGATGAGGAAGAGAAAAAGCGGAAACAGGACGAAGACGCAAAGAGGGAGGCAGTACAGTTAGTACAGTTGCAAGAGGAAGAAGAGAAAAGACGAAAACAGAACGAGGCTGCAAAGAAGGAGGCAGCTGAGAAGAATCGAGCTCGAGAGGCTAAAGACAGGCAAGAGGAAGCTGAGTCAGTACGGTTACGAAAGGAGGAAGAGAAACGACTACAAGAGGACGAAGACGCAAAGAGAGAGGCCGCTGAGAAAGCGCGCGAGAAAGAGACGGACGCCAAACAGGAGGAAGCAAGAAAGATACAAGCGCGCAAGGCAGAAGACGAGAGAAAGCATGAAGAGTCTGCGAGGCAAGCCACGCGCGATAGAGAGATGACGGCCAAAAGGAAACAGGAAGAAGAGGCCAAGTCGATCTTGCAACAACTGGATGCGCTTGCAGAAACTCTAAAAGGGCTCGAGACACGCAACAGCGAAGAGATGGGTGAGGCTAGTACTGCTGTTGAGGGACAAAGTACAACACCTAGGGAAGAATGTCTCCCCCAAACAGTGCTATCGGCAGAGTGTATTGCTCCGAAACCCACCGCAAAGTTCGAGGTTCCAGTTGAGAATCAGATGCTGGGATGCAGCAATCGATATCCGGTACGCACAATACAATCCGAGCCAATCGTGGAGCGATCTGCCGAGACGGAGAACGTGCCTGCAAAAGACCACATAGTCCGCACCTCGATGTCCTGGTTAGGGAGGCAGACGAAGCAGTTTGTTGACCTGCTTGTTCCAACAACTCCGCCGTGGGCCTCGACGCCCACCTTAAACACCCCAGAGTTTGTTGCATTGATGGAAGGATCAAAACGAGAAAAGAGCATGTCTGATGCTCAACCTTCGATCGAAACGCAACCTGAGCCTCATGTGCGATCCGAATCTGTTCCAGTCATCCGCGCAAAAATATTCGAGGCTGAGAGAAGAGATGCTTTCGTGCCTGGTGGATGGCATCACGATTTTGATGAACCAGGGCCCGTTTCCAAAGTGAGGAAAGTACGTTCCAACGACCTATTGAGCCAAGGTAGCTTGCGAGTATTAGAGACGGGAGACGCAAAACACAAGCGTGCCTCATCCGTTGGCGATTTGAAGAGAAGCGTGCCCACATCGCTTATTACCCCCATCATAAACTGGACTGCTCAAGAGTAAGTGTTGCGATACTTTGGATGTAGAACATCTCATTAACGACGCATAGTGAGGTCATAGCCGACAGTTGGTTCGAGAACCTGCGCAACCATGCACACGTCTTGCTAGACAGGTACCAAGATGACTCCTTCAAGCAGAAGAAGACCGAGCGACGTGTAAAGATCGCTGTACTTGACAGTGGAGTTGCGAAGAGCACTTCTCGAGGCCCAGTTCCGCCGCTGATGAAGAGTCCACGAGTAAAGCTAGGGAAGCAACTGGATCCGGCCCTGCCCTGGAACTGCGATAGCAAAGGCCACGGTACCCATGCCGTTGGTGTAATCCTCACTGTCTGTCCATACGCAGATGTGTATGTGTACAGGGTCTGCGAAGGTAACGAGGCGATCGACAGAAAGTACGTGGCGGAGGCCATTAATGACGCTGTCGAGAAGAAGAAGGTCGACATCATCAGTATGAGTCTAGGCTGGAACGAGGACAGTGATTACGAACTTCGAGCGGCGATTAGACGTGCTAGAGCTAGCAATGTTCTACTCTTCGCGGCGAGCTCAAACGAAGGCATCCGAACGAAAGCCGGCATGTCGTATCCAGCTCGAGCTTTGGAAGTTATTGCCGTCGATGCAGCAGATGTTCATGGTAACCCGTCCAAGTTCAATCCTCCACAACTCAGCCATAAAGCCAGATTTACTGCCCTGGGCGAAGCAGTAAGGTCCACGTACCCTATACACCTTCCTTCTGAGGATCCGAAGGAGGGGTGGAAGAGAATGGTAGGAACATCCTGTGCCACTCCCATCGCTGCCGGCATTGCGGGACTAGTACTAGAATTTGCCCGTCAACGGCCGCTTTGCTTCGAGCCTGCCATCGAAGCCTACCTAAGGTCCGTAGAGGGTATGAGGCTGATCTTGACGAGATGTCTATCGCGCAAGTATGCGGAAAGCTCGCCCTTCAACCACCTGGATCCGACGAATTTGTTTCGTTGCGACGAAAGATTTAATGACGGAGGTGGCTTTTTCGAATATGGGTCTCCGCGACTGGAAGCAGCGGGCCAGATCGTGTTGAAGCTGAAAGAAGAGTTCTCATCAGACATAGGGACGCAAATGGCGACGGAACTCCATAGAGTGTGGGCCAGAGGCGCTCAGAGCAGGACAGAGGAAGATTGAACGATGTTGGTTGTTCCAAGGAGCAGTGAAAACCATGAGGAAGGGTCCAACGCGTTCGGAACGCGCTAGCGGCCCTGGCACGCGTCATTGCGTAGGAAGGTCCTTGTACTACTACAGCGTCTAATTCAAGCTCAAAACAATAGGTTCAGGACAATACACCACCTCAAAACATCTACCTCCTACAAATCCATATCTGCACTGATAGGATATGCAGATAACACCGACGCTGTTGTGACCCAATATCATAATGCACGATGCGGAACTGAGTCAGGCACCCGCCGTCGCAGCTACCTACGTGGCACCTCAAAACTGCTCGAGCCAAGATTCCCACTTACGAACACCACCAGCACCGCCGCGTATCTGACGTAAAGTTAGCGGTCGAAAACGAGATGGAGGCCCTTGCACTCACGCGGCCGTGGCTGCGAAGACCTCGGATCGCTTCGCAGCAGTGAAGATACTAACGCTTCCAGCGAACAACAACATAAATACACCGATCATGATCAGCTTCGTTGTGGGATTATTGACATAATACAGGACCAGAATTGCGACGAAAAGCAAGACGACCGCGATGACAACGCTGACGATCGTCACGAACCTCGCAATTCTCTTTTCTGGTACGTATGCCATACCATTCTCTCTTCTTTCTGCCTTCGCATTCTGCGTCAGCTCGCCATTCGGGTTGTAGATAATGGATTGTACGCACAAGAAAGAGGACCGGAAGATATTGCTGCACGAATGTAGTGACACGGTCTTCGTGTGCGGGTTGTTTTAAGAGAACCAGATCATCGTTTCTTTCATACAGGGTAGCACTATGGCCCCCGAAAATCGGATCTCGGTGATTTGCAATCTTGTTGAAGCGCGTTGAGGCATGATGGACAGCGTCAAATGTGCGTATTGGAGGCGGTCCAAGTTGCGCCATTTGGCTTTCCGACAGCAGTGCCTTTCCTTCGACATTCTCAGCATGTTATTTGAGAATCTGGGCTGGCATCAGGTATTACTATACTCTTTCATCTTCTTCCGTATGGTTTCCATCAGATCCATTCGATTTCGTTGTTTGACGTTCGAAGGGTCGTTTGCAGCATTTCTGAACGCCTCCCAATTCATGGCACATCTTCCGGTAGCTAGATCATTATTCTCATATCTTCGATCCTCGCTATCCAACTGGTCCTGTTGGCATACAATATCAGCGGGTCGCCACGAAAAATTCGAACCGATTTCGCGCGTACTTGCATTGCTTCCAGTTCTACCAGTTCACTTTGCAGGTAAAGCAGATTACGCACAGCGAGTCTGTCGAAACGTCTGAAAACCAAAGACGTTCGATCCAGGTCACTCGAGATATCTTCTGCAAGTGAGGGATATCCATCCAGTGGCCGCACGACACTATGGCGCGAAGTCCGCATTGTGGTCTTGTCAAGTGTTGCGGCGATGGAAGTTGCGCGGCACAAGGACGTCCTGAATCTGCCTTGCTGGCAACGCAGACCGGTGAACAACCCTGCATTGCATATGCCAAGCGACGTGCCAGCCAGCCACCACTTTCGCCCACAGACAGTAATCACCTCGTCGCATCTTTGCGATCTTTACACGTACCGGTATCCGCAGCTTTGGTTTTGACAATACGGGTGCGGTGCCATTACCTTTGGGGTTCACATAAACATACAAGCGTATTCACGAGTTTCAGTTCGTAACATGATACACCCATCCCCTTACTGCTGCTGGCTTACGCTATGTAAACAGTTATTGTCTCTCCAAATTCCGTCAACTTCTGAACCTACGGCTACTGAGCCACATTGCGAAAGATTCGACTAGCTATCGGTCCACTGTATTCCGTCGGAGGAGCTCCCTGAGGGCTACAAAGAAACCTCAGACAAGGTACGGCAGCACCGTTTAAATTTATTAGAAGGCAGATGCTTAATGTATGTTACGCAGAGCTGATATTGTGAACTCCTCTGGTATCGCGAAACAGCCAAGCCAAACTTCGGCACCAATCAAGCCTCAGTCGACTGGATTTCTGGTACTCACACGGAAGAAAGCAGGTCTTCTAGCCGACTGAATGGTATTACGCCTGGCATTTGAGCAAATGGTACAAAGTGTGGTGGGAGTCACAAGGAAATGGCGGATACTTTGATCTGCACGAGTGCTGGCGTCGAATCCTATGATTGGCCTTTCGAGGACTTCTCGAATAAAGATCCAAGAGTAATGCAGGGTCAATTGATCCAAGCGTTGGATGAATTTGATCTACGCTTGTCAAGAGAGGAAGCTCAGGATTTAGAACAGTATCGTCGGTTGTCACGAGAAGAACTTAAAGAAGAGGAAGCATGGGTGCAAGTGATTAGACTTGGGGGAGTTCTTTCAAGGGTCCTCGAATCAGATGGAATACGTCGTGAATCCGAAGCAGACTTGTTAGCAACCGTGGCAGAGCAAAAAGCTATAATAGGTGTAAAGGATACCCGCGTGCCAGACGAAAAACTTCGCGAATCCGAAGCAGACTTGCGAGCAATCGCAGCACAGCAAAAAGTTGTAAGAGCTATGGAAGGCATCTACGTGAAAGGGCACCGTCGAGGTCTTCCACTACTTTTCGAAGCCCATGGTGGACTGCAAGAGATCATGACCTGCTACGACACCGGAACGCATGATAACCACATATCTCGTGCCAAGGCAATCGAACTGGGATATAACATCGAGCCGATTCCCGACACTGAAGCAGGCTTCCAGCTCCCGAATGGCAAGAACATCAAGGCCATGGGTCAAATCGTGGTAGCGGTTCAGTTCGCTAAACGGGTAGAATCGGAAGCATCATACATACCCTGTCGTTTCAACGTGTTCGAACGCTTGGCCCTACCGGTGCTCATCGGCATGGCCTTCCTCCGAGCCACAGAGACCATCACCAAGTACACCTCACGCATGGTAGACCTACCCGGAACTTGGAAGCGCTCGCTCCGTTTGTATTCGTTGGGAAATGCGACAAACCAGGTTTCGTGTATCATTGAGGGGCGAAGAATCTTAGCCGCTGCGGACACTGGATCTGAAATCGCCTTGATCAATGGCACATATGCTAGAAAACGCGGTTTTATCATCAGAGAAGGCTGCGAAGAGCTTGAGCTTGCTGATGGCTCACTTGAATACACCAGCGGGTTCGCATACGCCAGGATTAGTGTGCTGGATCACAGTCACTGGGAGAAGAGGTCGACGTCGATATCTGCGTCGAAATGGAAAGCGAAGCCAGGATTGAGACCTGACTGGTTTCGCTTCCATGTTCTGGAGTGCCTCCAGCTCGACGTGCTCCTGGATGAAAGAACAAGCGATGTCTTGGATGTCTTTAAGAATGGCTTCATCGAGTTCATGTCGGATGCGCCTGACGTTGTACCCAGCATATCTCCAATTATCCACCTAGGCTCCGTGGAAGCTTCTCTTGCACGGGCGAGCGACAAAGTAAGCAAAAAGACCAAAGAATTGAGCAGCTCGATCCGGTCACAGTGTACCTCAGCATTCTCAAAGCCAGCATCTTCGTCTAGCGCTGCAAGTACAGGTCAGCAGAAGCCCAGCTTTTCTTCACCGTCTTTGTGTTTGACCAGCCGCAGTGAGTCCAACGGGACCAAACGATGCTACGTCGCAAGCTCGTGCCAAGCTGATACCTACTCTCATCAGCCAGCTAGATCAAGCAGAAAACCGCCGGCTTGATCAGATGGAGAAAAGAGGCGCATCTGCTACGGATGACGCACAAAAGCAGCGATATGAGCTTGATCGGAAAAAGCTTTTGGACGAGCTGCGGGGATTGAATGGCACACAAGTGCCTTGAGCAACTTGCACCCCTGCGACTTGCACAGAATGTAATTGAAATACCAATCTCTAGACCCCAGTTTAGCTGCTTTAGATAATTGCACATATCCCTTACCGCCGCCCATTCAACATCCTCCCCTCCTCATCCCCCTCCTCCAGATCACTAAGTTCAAACTCCTCCGCATTCCTCAAACTCTCCTCATCCCCCTTAACCTTCCCCCAGCCCTTCTCATCCGCAGGATTAGGAAACGGCTCCGCACACCCCCGATTGCGCAGTGCCGGATAATACCTCCTATACGTATAATGCGCCACAGCCATACCCAACACGGACCCCACACTAACATCATAAACATCGTGTCTATAGTCTTCACAACGAGAAATCGCAATAAGCGCTGCGCCAAGCAGAGGTGCGAGAGCGAGGAGGACGCGGGCGAGGTCGGCGCGCGGGCGGTAGACGTGGCATTGGCCTGCGATGAAGAGGGCGAGGTAGCCGAGGCCGCTGAAGGAGAAACTACTATGTCCGCTTGGGAAACTGCGCCACCCGTCGTGTAAAATGTGATGATTCGTCTCGGTGCAGACGTCAAAGGTCACGAGTTGGTGTGCGGGCGTGCCAGGAGCGGGTTTGCATCGAGCGATGAGATCGGGGCGGGGACGACCGACGGCGTTCTTGATCACGTCGGTGATGAACATGGTGAGGATCATGCTGATGAACCAGCCGAGAATTGTAACGTGCGCTTTGTGCGTTCCAGGGCGCAGGACAAGGGCCCAGGCGATGAGGACGCCGAGGGGCACGGCGCCGGCGTATATGAAGAGCCAGGAGACGGGGACGCGTTCGTGTTCCGCGTGGGGGTAGTTGATGGCGAGGTTGTCGAGGAAGAACATGCGGTGGAAGGGTTCGGCGAGGAATTGTATCTGTGCCTAGTTTGTCAGTCTTGCTTTCTTGTTGAAACCTTGAGGGGTTATTCTGGTATTGTGATTACGCACCACTATGTACCCGCATACTAAGATGGCAATGCCAACATAATCCGAAGCATACGAGCGCTGCAGTTGTGTGTTAGCTATCTCTATCCATGCGTAAACCACGCCTCATTGTGAATTCGCTCACCTGCCAGAAGCGCGCGGCCGCGCCTAGGAAACCAGGCGAATTCAACAGCTCATTGGAATTGAGCCTGTGTGTTGGAGCAGGCATGGTCGCGTGGTCAGCACGCGCGCATGGCAGTCGAGGTTTGGCAAGCGTCTTCGGAGGTGTGTCTTCAACTCCGCAAATGCAGGGAGAAACGCGCTAGTGGGGGCGGCTTGCGTCACTCAAGGTACACGCCTAATGTAAACACCATGCAATATTCCTACATAGACTATATCAATCTCGAGTTCCACAATAACTATGCAAGACGCAAACGATCCCATCTCAATATCTACCTGCTAACAACATCAATACGTAGAAGCCAACATACCCAACCTCCCCCCATCAACCACAACCACACTCCCATTCAAATACCCCCCAGCCCTTCCCGCCATCCACAACACCGCGCCCGCAATATCCTCCTCCTTGCCCGTCCTGCCCTCGGGTACAACACTCCTATCCACCTCCCCATTGGGTCCCTTCTCCAACGACCCAATAATGCCCATCGCGAGCTCTGACGGGAAAATGCCCGGTGCAAGTACATTACAACGGATACCGTAAGGCACAAACGCCGTAGCCATCATCTTGGTCATATGCGTAACAGCCGCTTTACTGCTGTTGTAGGCGAACGACGCGCCGGGTAAACGCGAGAAACCGCCGATACTCGATGTCGTTATAATTTGAGAACGGACATCAGCGTGCGCGGTTTTCCTGCTGTTTCCCGCGTCGAGGAGCGTGAGGAAGGACAGCGCCGTATAATATACCGCCGTGTTGTTCACCGCATACGTGTTGGTAAAGTCGGCCATGGGCGTCTCGAGCGCGTGTGCTGCGTACTCTGCGACTGACGGCGCGGCGCATCCTGGTGCTGCTTTGAGCGGCTTAGGGCCCATGATGCCTGCGTTGCAGATTAGGAGGTCGATGTAGCCTGTTTCGGTCTCGACGTGCTTTGCGATTGAGAGAAGAGATTTGCGTGAGGTGACGTCGCCGGGTAGCGGGATGACGGTTTCTGGGTTGATGCTTTTGGCGGCCGAGTGGAGGACGTCTGGACGGCGGCCTACGATGTAGATGCGGTGGGCGCCATTGGCTGCTAGGGCTTTGGCCATCATCAACCCGATGCCTGATGTTGTTAGAGGAGTGCTGTTCAGTCTGGTATGTGGATGGGCTACCAGTTCCGCCTCCTGTGACGACGGCTACCATGCCGTTGACGTTGAAGAGCTCGTTGGCTGAGAGGTTTGTAGACATCTTTGAACGTTTAAGGGTAGAAAGCTTTGCGAATGCGGCCTTACGGCGTCGTTACTTGAATATATGTCATTGCTACGGCTCCACCTTCCGAACATGATGATTTCTGTACGACCAGCGTGCTTGCCGTGCTCGACTGGGATGATGGGTGGTGACTTCCCTTTCCATCTTCCTTGGCAGGTCATCGATGCAAACTCAATCACCCAAGGATGGATTCTGTAAAGTGAAAGCCCATTGCGTCGGTGACATACGAACAAGCGCGGTATCAGTCGATGTGCATTATAGCGGAGATGTTTTCTGCAAAGTAGTCGTGCCTCATAATACCGACATCCAATCCACATTACCACCTTCCCCAAATATGCGAGTATCGACAAACACATCAGCCGATCACTCCCGAAGTCACTTCTCCGCGTGCCAGCTTTTCCTAGCGGTAACCCACTTGAAGCTTGCACACCACCCCTCCACCTCCCCTCGCTCTGACCGCTCAACATAATCGTAAATCTCCTTTTGCGCGACCAATATATCAGCTCTCAACTCCTCCGCCGTCCAAACCCTTGTCTTACTCCCCCACTGCGTCAACAGCCTCAAGCAAACCGGCTCAAACATCTCCATACCAAGCACAAACATCATCTTGCCAAGCGATCGCTGCGCTTCGTCCTTTGGCCATTGCCCGACTGGCACGTTGACTTGGGTCGTCTGGACGTCTTCGAAGCCTGCTTCTTCGAGATAGGTGTGGTGCATGTAGAAGAGGCCAAGTGGACGGCCAGATTTGAATGATGCTTCCATGAACGCCACGTAGAGTTTCCGTAGGGTAGGCATAGGTATGTTTGCTGCTGTGATCTCTCCTGGGCCCATGGGCACTTGGCCGAGATCCCAATCTGCGAGTTCGATACATCCACCGGGTGAAAGGCTCTTGTAGATCTCGGCATATACGTCTTCCCAGTGCGTAAAAGAGCCCTTCATGTTTCGTAAATGTATGAGCTCAAAGGAGTCGCTAAAGTGCCAGCCTGGTTCAGGCTGGGGGGTAAGTGTTGAGAGATCAATAGTCAAATGCTCCTCGGGCGTAGGCTCCCTTCCTTGCTGACTGAGATCGACCGTTGACTTGGGCTTCCTCAGCGCGTCGATGGGAGTCCGATTAGCCAACTCATTGGCTAGATCTAGAGTAGCGAGCTGGTTGATCAGCTGGTCGACATCCATCTCTTTTCCCCAGACGTCAAGGTCGTCCAGCTCCCATGTCACCCTGGCATCACCCAACGTGGCTTCGGTGGTGTCTATATCCCATTCCGTCATGTCAATTCCGACAACCTCCGCGTGCGGGTATTGACGCGCCATGGCAACAGCCCAGTGACCTGGTCCAGTGCCCAGGTCGAGTATTCTTCGGGTAGTAGGCAGTAATTTCGCAGTGGTAAGCTTGCCATGAAGTGCTCGGACGAAGATTTCATGCTGTAGAGACAAACGATCCTGCTCTACAAAGTCGTTATGCTGCTTGTATACGCATGGCAGGTAGTACGTTTCATTGCCGTACGTTCGTCCATTTTCATGGAAGTATTCTAGATCGTCGGAAGCTAATGTGCGGACAGAGCGACTGTCGAGATAGGCGTCAGCTTTGTATACCGTGCGATGGTATTTGGTGGCTGATCACCGGTAAGGCTACAGCAATCGTTGTTGATCCTTGGAGACTGCCGAGTGGATCTACCCAGGTGCCCCAACGACCACGTCACAACGCAGAGTGGCAAATAACTGCAAGAATAGAAGACAGCAACGTACTTAGACTCGATCGACGAGATACTCTCCGAGTCAGCCCGTCGGCGTTTGAGTGGAGCGCCTGTGAGAGGGGCAACCACGTCGCCGGGTGGTGGCTGTCCCTCGTCCATGGTCTCGGAAAGCCGATGCAAAAGATCTGACAGTTCTCGTTAAACAAACAAGACAAGAATGACAGGTAGACGGAAGAAGTAGAAATCATTCGTCTCTTGGGTATGTGCTGCATCCGTAGTACCCTAGCAAACGGGTGCTAAAAGCTGAGGTTCTGCATGCTAAGCGATGGCCGCTTGATGCTGGGGGCGCGTGGGTACTGCGTATACGGTCTACATGTGCTGGACCGTAAACGGAAACGGGCGACTTACGGCGAGAAGATCTGCAGGCGGTAGAGGAAATCGCGCTATGTGGGTGACGGACGCGATAGTTGATGGTACGCGGGCGACCGACGTAGACGTGTTGCAGCACGTTAGTAAGAGGTGGTTAGGACCGCCAATACCTCTGGTTGCTAAGGATTAGGCCTCGACCGATGCTCATAAGACTCTGAACAGCCACACGAACGGTACGCAGCCTCAGCTGCCCGCTGACTTCTAATCATGTTGGCTCTGACACGGACGAATTACCAACCCAGCTTTAGACAGCAGGCTATCTATGTTCGACCTTCGGGCGGAACGATTGACGAAAGGATGCGCTGATACTGAGTCAACCCGTTGGCGACATGAATGCGTCCATCGCTATGTTACAACGCAATCTCCGGTTCGTGCTACGTGTTCGCAGGTGTTAGCGCGTAGGAACCCAGACCCTGCTGCCGGCTTGCAGCATGTCACAAAAGGTCGTAGCACAAGTCCAGAACCAGACTGAAGCAGCCTCTTGCTGATACTACCGCGGAGAGCAGAGTCCTAGACGTCTCAGCTGGGCTCTAGGCACAGACTTTTGGCGCCGGGCTTTTTGACGGTGCGGCCATGCTACCGGCGCCAGCGGAGCGGATCCAGTAGATCGTCAACCGGACTGCCGGGAGTGAATGCACCATCTTGTAGCCTTTTGCACAATGTGTAGGGCACATTTGCTTCGAGGCCTTTTGCTTTGCTTCATCTCATACTATCCTCCACGGGAGCTTTTCACACCTAGCACTCAGAGGAGTAAGCTCGACGCGGACGAGTCATTGCTGGTCACCTTTGATCCTAGCAGATGCAGCGGGTGTCGCCCGATGTATGTACGAACCAGAGAATCGACGGGTTGGCGACCAGGGATGCCAGGCTATCAAGCTGCTGGTGCTGGTAGGAGTAATCTATCTTTTGTCTCCATCAAAAACCATACATAGTAAGTGATAGACAGCAATGACCGACCAGCCTATCGAGGAGCATTCCAGCTCTGAAGTCGGTCGGGCGATCCTGCAGTAAACGGGAAAGGTGCCGGACAACCCGGATCCCGGGAGGTGCAACCAGAGTGAGGCTGATTTGCAGGCCCCCTACTCTTTCTGATGCGCATCCGTGCCGCGTCCATGTGTCCGAGGGGAGTTTTACATAGTGGGTCAGAGTAAGCAGGAGAGTTGTTTGTGGAGAAAAATGTGAGACTGAAAGGAGGCGCGAAGTGCGGTGTGCTAAAGTATTGAACGCACAGTTGCGGCGCGGGCGAATTACACCTCACGGTGTGCTACACGGAAGGAGCGAGTGACAACATTGGCAAGCGGAATACGCTGGGTTTTTCCGATTCAATATCGAAGTGACGTCAATTCTAATACACAGGCTACGTTTCTCATTAGGACGCAGTTCTTCTATAGACATGCTCTATACAATCAGTCGACCTCTTGGCCCTCAAACTTGGGTAACCGTGCGGCAACATCTGACCAGGTCTCTTCACCCCTCACGATGTTCGCAACGGCCTGAGCAATCTCCTCGAGGCTTGCGCGCACTTGGCCAGTAGTGTCTCGGTCTCTGAGTGTGAATGTGTTGTCCTTGATGGACTGGAAATCGACGGTGATGCCGAGAGGTGTACCAAGCTCATCGTTACGCTGGGACGTGTTAGACTCTGATCGAGGATACAGGGTAGACGGAGTACTTACGGCATAGCGCTTGCCGATTGAGGCACCGGAAGCGTCGACGCGGTTGGAGACACCAATCTTTCGCAGTTTGTCCTTCAGTTTCCGTACGAACGGATCGAAGTCTGGGTTTGAACTGAGTGGCACGATGAGCACCTTGGTCGGTGCGACGGCCGGAGGGAAGGACAGGACAGCCTTGGCTTCGTCGTCCTCACGGGTCCAGTAGACATGTTCACATAGAGCCTGGATCAGTCAGCAAGGTATGCATAGCCCTCAACGCATCGGTACTTACGTAGAATATGCGGCCAATACCAAATGACGGCTCGATGACGTTTGGTGTGTATTCCCGTGTGTGTTCTACTCGGGTCTGCTTCGATATGGTGATGAGCTCCTTTGGTACCTCGACCTTGCCATCACCAACTTCAGGAACGTCAATGACGATCTTGCCCTCCTTCTCTAGGTCTAGAGATAGCTTCTCACGGAGATCTTGCGACAGTGCTTCGATGGCCGCTTCGACAGTCTTACCGTCCTTCTTGAAGGTGGGACCGAACTTCTTCTTGTCGAGTTGGCATTGCCACTCTTCAACCTTCTTCGGCTCCTTTAGTGTTTCACGGACAATAAGAGGTGCACCGGTCTTCTTCATGTGGACTGAGAGATCGTATGCGCTACGGTCAGCACAACCGACACACTCGATCCAGCCGTATGATGTGAGCAGCTCAGCGTCCCAGCAGTCGGCGGCGTAATGGGCCATTTCATTGGCCATGTGCTGTCTAAAGCGAATCTTCTTTGGGTCGACGCCGAGCTTGAGCAGGAACAGCTGGATACGGGCCAAGAAGTAACCCAGTGTTTCGTTGTCGACCAGACCCGTCTCGACAGCCTTGCCAATCTTGGTGGTCTCAACAGTGGTCTTGCCTGAAAGCTGTACGTCCCGGTTGAGCAGCTCAAGCTCAACGTCCTTGACTTCCTCGAAACGTGGATGTTTCTTGCCGCCCTCTGGGTCGACAAAGTGCTCGATCTCAGCCATTAGGAATTCTCGCACACGGAGCAGACCCTGTCGCGGGGAAATTTCGTTGCGGAACGACTTGCCGATGGAAGCAGAGGCGAAGGGCATTTGCTGGTTGTTGTGATCTAGCAACTTCTGGAAGTTGACGAACTGACCCTGGGCGGTCTCGGGACGTAGGTATGCGGGCAGATTGGACGAGGGGCCGAT